CGCTGGTTAGGCCTCAACTGGAGTATTGTGTCCAGTTCTGGGCACCGCATTTCAAGAAAGATGTGGAGAAATTGGAGAGGGTCCAGAGAGAGCAACAAGAATGATTAAAGGTCTAGAGAACATGACTTAGGAAGGAAGGCTGAAAGAATTGGGTTTGTTTAGTTTGGAAAAGAGAAGACTGAGAGGTGACATGATAGCAGTCTTCAGGTATCTAAAAGGGTGTCATAAGGAGGTGGGAGAAAATTTGTTCATCTTAGCCTCTAAGGATAGAACAAGAAGTAATGGGCTTAAACTGCAGCAAGGGAGGTTGGACATTAGGAAAAAGTTCCTAACTGTCAGGGTGGTTAAACACTGGAATAAATTGCCTAGGGAGGTAGTGGAATCTCCATCTCTGGAGATATTTAAGAGTAGGTTAGATAAATGTCTATCAGGGATGGTCTAGACAGTATTTGGTCCTGCCATGAAGGCAGGGGACTGGACTCAATGACCTCTCGAGGTCCCTTCCAGTCCTAGAGTCTATGAATCTGGACCCAGGGAAAAGAAGCCCTCGAGGAATTCCACCATGATTTTAACAATTTCCCTCCCACCATCAACCTCAGCCTAGACCAATCCACACAAGCGGTCCATTTCCTAGACACTACTGTGCTAATAAGTGATGGTCACATAAACACCACCCTATACCAGAAACCTACCGACCGCTATACTTACCTACATGCCTCCAGCTTCCATCCAGGACACATCACAATATCCATTGTCTATAGCCAAGCTCTAAGATACAACCGCATTTGCTCCAATCCCTCAGACCGAGACAAACACCTACAAGATCTCTATCCAGCATTCTTAAAACTACAATACCCACCTGCTGAAGTGAAAAAACAGATGGACAGAGCCAGAAGAGTACCCAGAAGTCACCTACTACAGGACAGGCCCAACAAAGAAAATAACAGAACACCACTAGCTGTCACCTTCAGCCCCCAACTAAAACCTCTCCAGCGCATCCTCAAAGATCTACAACCTATCCTGAAAGATGATCCCTCACTCTCTCAGATCTTGGGAGACAGACCAATCCTCGCTTACAGACAGCCCCCCAATCTGAAGCAAATACTCACTCACCAGCAACCACACACCATACAACATAAACACTAACCCAGGAACCTATCCTTGCAACAAAGCCCGATGCCAACTCTGTCCACATATCTTTTCAAATAACACCATCATAGGACCTAATCACATCAGCCACACCATCAGGGGCTCGTTCACCTGCACATCTACCAACGTGATATATGCCATCATGTGCTAGCAATGCCCCTCTGCCGTATACATTGGCCAAACCCGACAGTCTCTATGCAAAAGAATAAATGGACACAAATCTGACCTCAGGAATGATAACATTCAAAAACCAGTGGAAGAACACATAAACCTCTCTAACCACTCAGTGACAAACTTGAAGGTGGCAATTTTGCAACAAAAAAACTTCAAAAACAGACTCCAAACAGAGACTGCTGAATTTGAATTAATATGCAAATTAGATACAATTAATTTAGGTTTGAACAGAGATTGGGAATGGTTGGGTCATTACACTAATTGAATCTATTTCCCCATGTTAAAATATCCTCACACCTTCTGTGGGTCATCTCGATTATCACTTCATAGGTTTTTCTCTCTCTCCTGCTGATGATAGCTCATCTCAATTGATTGGCCTCTTACAGTTGGTAAGGCTACTCCACCTTTTCATGTTCTCTGTATGTATATATATCTTCTTTCTGTGTGCTCAATTCTATGCATCCGATGAAGTGGGCTGTAGCCCACAAAAGCTTATGCTCAAATAAATTTGTTAGTCTCTAAGGTGCCACAAGTACTCCTGTTCTTTTTGTGGATACAGACTAACACGGCTGCTACTCTGAAACCTGTCATTTACACCAATGTGATTCCAGTGATCAGGTGTCATGTCCCTGTTGCTGTGACGTTAACTTCGTAGCTGTTCTTTGTAACCCTTCACAAATTCTCAGGGTAGAAAAAGGACAAATATGTACTAATGCCGCTGATTTGCGGATTAAACAATTATGGTGAAGCAGCATGTGCCTGTCAATGGAAAAATTGGGAGGGAACAGTAGTATCAGCTGCTTCTCCCGTGCGGCTAATGAGCGGGCTTAATGTGAGTGGAGCATGCTCAATAATAACCGAAGCTGCTCCTCTAACCAGGCTCCTCCTCCTCCCAATCTTTTCCCTCTCTCCGTGCAAAATACCGGGATAGACAGAAGGACGTACTAGTCTGAAGCTACATTGGGCTGCGGTATCCAGGACCCCTCGCTATGGGCAGCCAGGAAGCAGAGACCCAGGAGACTTTGCAAACCCCAGGTGGGAGTAAGAAGTTTTTTTGTACTTTCGGATTTTGCTCTCTTTAACCTTCTTTAGTGTGTCCGCGGTGTTGTTTTCTCCGCTCTCCCCCGCCCCCCAAGGCAATTTGGCAATCGCTTAGCTCACCCAAGCAGTCTCCAAATCCTTTCGAGACTCCTTTTTGTTTCGTTCAGTTGTGGGGTTGTGTTTGCTGCTGAAAGAGTTTTCGTGATCACTGCAACTTGGGAGGGAGAGGATGGCCCCCGGATTATTTTATTTTCCTGTTATTGTTCTGCTACTAAATTGCACATCAGAAGAACTTAGAACTATCGTACTAAGATCACTGGCACGTCTTGCCGTTCACGTGTCAACCTCTCGCTGTGGAAATTAACCCATAGCATTCTGTTCTGGGGTAATGCGTTCAATTCGCTATTTCTTTTTATGGGACAGCTAACTGAAGCGCAACGGAAACTTGGTTTGTTTAGTAAAGGTTTATACAACGATAATGTCAAAAGGTTCTTGCTGGCTATTTAAAAACTCTCTGAAGCTAATTGCGACCCTAGCCAAATAATGGAAAGTCTTACTAGTGGGGCCTGAAGCCAAACCTGTTAAGTAACCATCCTAATGCACTTTGGTTAAAGAACTTTTTTTTCCCTGGTAACCATTTCTGGCCTCAACCTCACCCTGGAATGCAGCAGGAGACCTCTCCCTCTACCCACTCCTTTGTCTTTATATAAAAATTACTTTACCAAGTATGTAGCAAACAGGAAGGTTCAGGTCTTAATCCTTGTGCCCTGGGACCATGGCAATAGAGAACAGTAAATTTAAATACTATTACAACATTTTCTTTGTATCCTTCAAACAGGTGGCCTACACCTGTATTTTTAAAGTTTCTTACATCTTTATTTGTAAATTGATTGATTGTTTCTGGGTCTCTGGGCTGTACAACAAAGTGTATGTGAGGGGTCAGGTGCAGACTTTTTATGGCACATTTAATGATCATTAATACTGTGTAGACAAAAGACTACAACTTTATTTGCTAGAAGCTGTCAGTTCACTTAAAGGTGCCCTGGGGTCTGATCAGGCACCCAGTACTCAGGTGGGCAGTACATAGTCCCACACATAATCCAATTCACTTCAGTGGAGCTATGTGTGAGTCAGGGCCACAGTGTCAGATCCTTTTGTCATTGATGCTGCAAGCTGCTCAGTGTGGAAAGACACTCAGACTCTTAGAAGTCAAAGGGACTCTGGGTGCAAGGGGCTGGCTATCTGTACAGATTAGCTTGCAGGGTTGGGGGATCTTCACTTATGGTACAGTAATATATTGAGAAAATGATGAGTTTAGGGCTCTTAATGGCAGAACATCAATTACCTTTTCCTGAACCATAGGTTTAGGTTACTAATTCCTGGAGGGCCCATCTCTTGTAAACAGACAGCTTGAAATTGTGTCCCAGTTTATCAGAGCTTAATACAAATATTTTTAGTTCTAGAAAATGGCAGACCAGAAGTTCCCCGTGAAGAGTCAAGTAGGTTTACCAGAGATCAGCTCTTCGCAATGGTAGCAACAGCTTGTTTGAACTTCAGTTCAATGATTTGCTATTCAATCCTGGGACCCTTTTTTCCAAGAGAGGTAAATTACTGTACAGTTCTGCAGACTATTATTCAGATGTTTAAAAAAATGAGAAGTAATTTTAAAATCCGATAAATTATATTGCGGCATCACCCCTAGAGGCTACATGTGAGCTCAAGCTCCTATTGTGCCAGGCGCTGTAAGAGACCGTTCCTGTCACAAAGCACTTGCAGCCTATTTTAGATGAGGCAGACCAACTGTAGAGAGAGGTGAAGTGATTTGCCCAACCTCATGTAGCAGGTCAGTAGGAGAACCAGGAATAAAACCCAGGTCTCTTGACTTCTATTCCAGTGCCCTATCCACTAGATCACTCTTTTTTT